CGAGGGCTGAATTATGTTATCACGTAGCATGTCCGCGACTGCCTCCTTGATCTGGGTCCGTTCGGGCGCACCCACCCAGTATGTGGGGAGTTTGATCGGTCGGGCTGCACCTGTGTCAATTTGGTGCTTAACAAGGTCTGTTCGGCCTACATCTGAATCGTGCTCACTGAACACGTCGGCGTACTCCCGTAACAACCCGCGCAGCTGATCGGCCTCCCCCTTAGGTAAATCTGCCCAAGGCACATGTAACGCATCATGCAGGGGAGCGATCTCGGCCCAGGGGGTTGGGCCGACCCGCCAGGCCAGATCCTGGTTGTCCTCGGAGTGGCCAGGGTCTTCCGCCCAGAGTGCAAACACCGAGTCGTTAGAGTGGCGCGCGTGCAGGGGGTGTATGGTGGCTACTGTGGTGCGTCGTCGTAGCATCGCCGGGGTACTGTGTGGGTTAAACACCTGCATGAACAGTCGGCCCCCATCTGCGTTTACCAGCGTGGCTGACCCGACGACTCCGTACCGCGCTGCCAACTCCGGGTGAGGAGTTAGCATTACCTCGCCCGATGGTCGGTGTGTGGGGTCGGCGGAGGGGGTTGCCACTGGCACCAGCATCTCGGCGAGCGGCCCGATGGTGACGGCCGACACCAGCGTAGCGGCCACGGGTGTGAAGCGAGGGCGATTCGGCTCGGGTCCCAGGAACGGGATCCGCTCCCCGCTGCCCTCCGCGGTGGCGCATCGCTGGCGGGGCTGCACGTTGAGCCCCAGATTTTCCAGGAGGTCCGTACCTGCAATACACTCGTGGCATAACACACTCGAGACGTAGAATTCCTGGGTGCACACCTGGTTTCTGAGACGGACCTCGAGGGAGATCCTTCCCAGCAACCCCATCCCGGCTCCGCTCGCTGTGTGCAGCGCGCGATCCGGGGCCTGCAGGCGGCTCACGTCAACCCCGAGTACGCTGCAGTGCGCGGCGCTCACGAGCGAGGCTACGGCCCCCGTGTCCAGTAGGATCCGGGTGCGCTGTCCGTTCACCTGTCCTTCCACCAGTGACGTGGCCCCCGTGATTCCTGCTACCAGCTCCCGCAGCCAGTCGCCCGTCCTCACCGCGTCCTTGGGTGTTGTGGTTGGAACCTGTGTGGGGGTCACTCGCTCACCATTATTATTATCGCCGTTTTGTTTCGGGACCTCATTGATTGCACCCCTAGGTGGTCCATTCTCTAGCGGGTGTTGGCGTTTTAACCCTGGTGCCTTTCTAGCGCGGGCAATCTGGGGACAGTCCCTCACCAGATGCCCTCGCTGGTCGCACAGGTAACATGCTCGGGGAAGGGCGGCAGCCCTGTAGGAGCCTCCCTGCCCGCTCCCTCTTTCCCCTCCCGTACGCCGATGCCCAGACTCCACCTCTAGTCGGGCTACCCTCCCGGCCAGCCCTCCCACCTCGGTCTGAACCGTCTCCACCGTAGTCTGCAGCGCAGTCATATGTGCCCGTACTTGGGTTACCTTGTTGTCCACTTGGGTTACTCTCTCACCCACTTGGGTTATTCTTTCACCTACTTGGGTTACCTTGTTGTCGATCCCCCCGATGCCCGTCTGTATCCCCGCTACCCATCCTGGAGTTGTCTCGCGGGATGCCGGAGGCTCCCTTTCCCGATCCCTTACCGTCCTAGCGAGCTCCTGTTCCTCCTCTTCTTCCTCGGTGGACAGACTTGCGATGGTGCGCTCCCGTCCCAGTCCTCGGAGCTGTGTGCGTTCGCTAGAAATTCTTTCACATTTGCGCGCGCGCTCGACAAGGGCGTTAAAGGGGAGGCGCGTACAGTTCATGTCTGGCTGCCACCACGCCGTGCGAGTTAAGTATCGCTGGATTTTTTCTGCGGCCAGCTCCTCAATCACTTCCGTTGTGTACCCCGGGCGTGCGATCTTTGTTAGCTCGCGCACATCCTCGGCATAATCGCGCAGGTCCTTGCCGGGTTGGCGACGGCGTGCCTCTAAGGTCGCTTTTGCCTCCTCCTCATCGCGCGTACCAAAACGCAGATCAAGTCGGCGCATCAGCTCCTCTAGCTGTGTCTGCGCGCTAGCGGGTAGGGCTTCGACAAAATCGGCTGCCCGCTCATCCAGATTCATATTAAGTTGACGTAACGCCTGTGCGTCCGTCCACCCATTAATTTCCTTAGCCCCTAGGACGTTGCGGGCAAATGCTTTCCACGAAGGTGTACCCCGGCCGGTGAATATGTCTTATTTTCGCGTGGGGTAACGCGGGGGTTCGTACCGCTTCTGACGCCAAACTGTGGGGGCTAACGTCCCCCGCCATCACTGAATTGTCGGGGCCGTTGCCCACCGACTCCCCCGTTCCATCCATACCACTACCTCCCCGGCTGCTCTGTCAGGTCCAGACTACCAACCCCTAATGCCTCGCCCCCCTGTACCTCTGCCTGGGATGTCGACCGCGTTTGCGTAGCTTAATTAGCGGCTCGAGCGCTTTGCGCTCGCGATGCGCTACCCTGTTCAATGGCGGCGTGTCGCGGTGAGCACGCTCGCAAAGCAAAACCCCGTCATGCATGGGAATAAACAGGCGCGGCGCGCCCCCGTGGGATTCCCTCCCACCCACGCTCCACGCGCTTAAGCAAAAACAACCACACCGCAATTACTTTGCTCCGATTTAACGGGCTGTTTACACAGCTGCGTATTCACACACGCCAGGCGCTTAATTCGCTATTAGACAATAGCGCGAGTGCGCGCCCGCCACCCCGCCACCCCGTCACACAGGCGCGCGAGCGCAAAGCGCTACTGTAGGCTATTGCGCAGGTACACGAGCGCTGGGCACCACCGAAGATATTCGTGTAGGTACGAGCGCGCTGAACAATACTGTAAACGATCGTACAGGTACCGGCACTAAGCACGTTCTACTCCCTTATTCGCTGCAAACAGCCGCGTATGCGCGCGAACACAAAACACTCTGTACACACTCTTACCGGTATGCGAACACCAAACACTCCATCTCCCTCCTCGCACTCACAGTGACCACGACACAGCTTTATCCTATTAGTGGTTTTATTCCCCGGGAGTATCGAACTAGACTGTGTGTGTCAGTACGGACCAGCAGGACAGGTCTAACCTATCTCGCTACTGCCTGATACTTAATGGACCTGTCTGCCTTCTATTTTCTCTCCGAATTTCGTCCCCTTGTCTTACCTCTCTCCCTCGTACTTACGGTCCGACCTCGCAGCGATGGAGGTCGCGGACAGATGATGCTGTAAACAGAATCTGGCTGTTCTCTGCCCCGTCTCACGGACGTGCGAGTAACGGTCAGGTGACGGCTCCCCGATCCCTCCCTCCTGTTGATCTCCAGTCAAATCAAAAAATGGCCCCCTGCTTCAACAAAGCGTCCCTTTTTATGCTCCTTTCAAAGCCCTCGCAGCGCCCATCCGCGGTGCATCACGGGTCAGGCCGTTAATCCGCAGTGCATCATGGGTAGGGCCGTTAATCCGCGGTGCATCATGGGTCGAGACGCTAGCCCGCGGTGCACCATGGGTAGAGATGCTTAACCCACGCTGCCCCTCTCCCCACCTGTCTCCTGGTCCGTGTGTGTCTTGAGCATCTCCTCACTGCGGTTCTCAGTGAGTTCGCCGTGGTCATTTAATTCTAAGTTAAGCCACGGCGCCGCAGTGCCATTTGGCCTGGGGGGGGGGGGGGGGGGTTGCCTGCCAATTCCCTGACCCTGAGAAACCGTGGAGCACCCCCACGAGGGGGGCTCTCGGGTAAAAACTCAGGGCAGGTGCCCCCCTCCCCCCCCATGAGGCCCTACTTGAGTGTGTGTGTTTAGGTGGGGGGGGGGGTGGCGGGGGAAGTGCTGTGATGGGAGCCGGGTGGCTTCTCGGTCGCAGCAGCACAGCGACGGCTCCGGTTTCGACGGAGCGGCTTCGCTTTTGTGGCACCACAGATGGACCAGGCACCCACATTCGTACTGAACAGCTATACAAGAGAATAAGCTACTGCAGCCTAAATGTACAGCACTACACATAACACTGAACTGTGGATGAGATATTTCGTCATCCTTTCTCTCAAGATCACAATAAGGTCACGTGAGTACAAGTCTGACTCGACTTATTCAATTACAAGTAACATTCACAATAAGTCGAGTGGCAGGCTTCATTGTTAACTAGGCCTCATTTTTATCATAACAATTTAACGGCATTATAAAGGCATTTACGTAATTATAACGGTCATTCTAACATTATAACAGCATTCCCAGTATTATAAGAACATAAACGAACTTACAGACAACGCTTATTAAAGTCCCACAATGAACAGTTGCATATCATTTCACGGAGACGTTATTTGTCCCTCCATTTTGTACTCTGTGTAATGGCTGACACCCTGCCGCGTGGCTGAGAGGGAATCTTAAATCGTAACTTCCTGGTCACGTGACCAAACTCAACCTCCAAACAGGAAATTCCTGTGTACACACACCCCTACTCCTGCCGTGAAGCAGAACAGGGTTTGTATTCTATTGAGATTCTGCACCACATGCTTGAATGTTTGTTCACAGTCGTCATACAGTACCTGTATTGATTATGTTTGAAGGATTCTTAACTTTTAAGCTTCACACACATTGCAACTGTTACTTATCAACATAACTTAATGATTTCAAGTGCTCTGGAAAACCCATTCATTCAGTCATGCTGCAAGAAAGTGCCTTGCAACATAACCAGATCACAATATGAACATGACAAGGATGCAACAACTTCCACATTAATTTAAATGTTGGCTTTGGTGTCGTTCAATTAGATGTGGTACTTGGTGTCACTTTCATGGAACAAAATAGATGATGGAGGTGTAACTTCCCTGCTAATTAGCCATGTAAGCTGACAGGATATATGCAACAGAGCTACTCAGTTTGTTTGATCGTTTCCACGAACAGTATGGCTCAGATGATAGCTCTCTTGGCAAAATAACTACGTGTGTATAATGCTTTCGTGCTCTCACCACCGTGCATCTTGTGCGTGTGTGTATAGGTGTGCGCAACCCTTGGCACAACAGGCGTGTGCACCTTTGACAACATGGCTGAACTGGGCCCAATCTGTGAGATGTGGTCTTTGAATTTCTCTTATTCCTAACACCCTAAGTTCATAACTGTTCTAATTGCACCTCCGATTATCACGGTTGGCTACGTACGGTGCAAAAGATGTTCAACATACATACACACATAAACTTAAGTCCTTACCCATGAGATTTAAAAGCAGGAGCAAATGTTTGCTTACTGTAACTCATTTGTTTAGACCTGGTTTAGGAAATCTTTTTACCAGCAAGAGCCCAACATCAGGGTGAAACACGATTATTAGCTTTCTTGCGATACACTCAGGCCGCCAGGAGGGGCTCTGGCTGCACGTGGACGCGGCGTACGCGGGCACTGCATTCCTGTGTCCCGAGCTGCGTGACCCCCTGCGCAGGGTCGAGTTCGCCGACTCGTTCGTGGTCAACATGGGCAAGTCGATGATGGTCAGCCAGGACTGCGCCGTGTTTTGGTGAGGCCTCCGTGAATCGTGCAACATACCATTTGGACAAGATTGTGTTGGCCTTGTTGCACGAAACACAAGCTCTTAAGGTTTGTTTATTTGGATTAAATTTTTCACTTCTCAATATCAGATATTTATTTGACCTGGAAATCAATCATATATACCTGTTTAATATGCTTCGATTTCCTGTTTTCTCGGAAGTTAAGTGCCAAAGAGTGCCGTGACAGCATTCCCACCCCACTGGCAACCGACTGATCGGTTTCATGAATGCCACAAGGGCATTGAATTCAAGAGATCCCACCCACTTCCACCTCTTGAACCAACTTTCACAGTTAAACTACGTAATCGCATGCCTCTTATTGGCCAGCCTGCCACACTTGACTGCACGCTAAGAGCCCGACTCACTGTGCCAGGGTGGCGGACAAGCGAAATCTGCAGAGCACGTTCTGCGTGGAGCCGCACTACTTGCAGCACGAACACTCCGGTTCGGTCACAGACTTCATGGTGGGTGAATTTGCTGCACTAAATATTTTTGTTGTAAAATGGCATGCATTCGTGGAAGAGAATAGTTTATGCTCTATTACTTTATGTCTAGGCGTACCAAGCTAACAGCTCTGATATTCCTGGTGCAAAGAGTATGATCGTCTTTATACAATCTTAAGTAATTTCACAAACAAACCCGGACATTTTATGTGGGTATATTTGCTCAGGGAACACAGCAGATAACGTCAGAAAACACCATCTTGTCAAGATGTCATTACCAGTTAATCTTGTTCTCTCTCTTAAAAAAAAACATAGTTTAGCTCAGCAATTTACCTTAATATGAAAGTCTATTCTGATGTATAACAGCGGTTCCATTGTATTTAACATGTTTCTCTGCATTCTGTCATAAAAACACAGATAGAATGTATTTTTTGCTGTAACCAGTAACACCCAAGCTGTTATAATTTTGCTTAGATATGTGGGAACGTTGTGGAAGTTGGGGGGGGGAAGGGGAGGTGGACATGGGGGCCCATATCAAGTAGCCAAGGCAGCTAATGAGCACTATTAAATGTGGGGGACTCATATTTTCACCCACTTTGATTCAGCAACTGTCCTCATGCCAAGTACAGTACATGATTGTGCTGTGAGATGTGTTAATGATCGGGGTGGTGTTTTCGTGCAGCACTGGCAGATCCCGCTGACTGTGCGTTTCCGCTCGCTCAAGCTGTGGTTTGTGATTCGCTCGTTCGGGCTGGACGGCCTGCAGGAGCACGTGCGCAGGGTGAGGGCCTCGTGTGACACGCGCTCCTAGTCACTGACACTCAGGACAGTTCAAACCAATGATAATATGTACTGTATATTTTTCTACAGACCAATAAACTTGCAAGGTATTTTGAAAGCCTCGTCAGGGAAGAGCCCCACTTCGAAATTCCAGCGAAGAGCAACTTGGGACTCGTTGTGTTTCGTCTACAGGTGAGATATTACAGCTTTTCCCCATGAAATTGCAGATGCAGTGGAACGGTTTTAATTATTGGCCTCCACATTAGACTCTCCCCCTCTCTTTCCTCCTTTTGCTCTGCCCTCAGTTCCTTTCTCTTTTCTATCGCTTATTCTCTTCCACTGCCTCCACCCCTACCGGTTCCTTCCCCCGCCTCTAACCCACTCCCAGTCCCCCAGTCCACTTCCTATTAAGACCATAATTCCTGACCCGGCTCCCACGTCTCATTTTCTCTATGTGCACCTAACCACATCTCTCCCCCAGCTGTCCACTATTTCAAGTTTCATTTATTAGGTATAGCCCTGTGAGCCATGCGGCTCTTAAGTCGGGTGCAACCGCAACAAACAAAATATGAATACAGAAAATCTCAAAGCGACAACGTGCAACAGAAACATCCTGGAATAAACCGGCAAATATTCCACGCAAAAAAACGTATTAAATGCTGTGTGCAAAAATCACAATGTGGTGCAAGCCAACAACAACAACAACCATAAGACAATTTAGATTAATAAAGTATTAAAGCTTTTGTGACTGTATTTACAAGAGGTGGTCCTTTTTTGAGCTGCCGTTTTGTATGTGTAAGATGTGCGTGTTTGAGCTGCCGCTCTCGCTCTGGCCCCTTCCCCCCCTCCAACCGTATTTCCTATTTAAGCTTCTGTTCACCACTCCCCCCCCCTCTCTCTCTGCCTCCCTGTCCGTCTTTCCTCCCTCCTTACCTCTTGGTGGACTTGTATATGTATTTCTACTGACCTTGTACCTCGTATTTTTCATTCTATCTATGCTGGTATGTGCAATCCAAAGGTTGAACACGAAATTTAACACTCTTCTGAAATTCGTGGTCCGCCAGGAAGTGTCTAACTGTATTGTTGGCTTGACTGGATGTGCTTCACATAATGTTTTTTCAGGTTTGTTGAATTCTCGTCTCTCATCTTTTTGTTGTATTTACCTCCGTGATTTGTTCTTGACACCTGATGAAGATCGCTTGCATTGTGATCGAAACGTCGTGATTGTTTTTTGTTTTAATATAATTTTATTGTATTTCTACATACGTGACTTTACCGAAAAAAAACAATGAACAATTTAGATTAACCATATGTTTTCGAATCACCAAAATAAAGCTATAAAAACAATGTAACAACAGTAATCATAGGAACTGTGATTTTAAATTTAACAATAAACGATATACATAACACGTACGACAAAACCTGCAGCCATAGCTGGCAGCACGACACTCCCAGTGTATGATGTATGAGCGAGTCAGCAGCAGCGTGAATGATAGTATGATGTGTGAGTCAGCGCACGATGTGTTAGTCAGCGCATGAGTGAGTCAATGTATGATGTGTGAGTGAGTCAGCGGCAGTGTGAGTGAGTGTATGATGTGCGAGTGAGCCAGCACACAATGAGTGAACCTGTGTATGATGAGTGAATGGGTCAGTGGTTGTGCGCGTGTATGATGTGTAAGCGCATGATGAGGGAGTGCATGATGTGTGAGTAAGCGCATGATGAGCGAGTCAGTGCATGGTGTGAGTCAGTGTATGATGTGTGAGAAAGTCAGTGTCGGCTCCCACTGCTAGCGCCGTCGGCCTCCCCCTGGCTCCGTCGCCCCCCCCCCCCCAGCTCCGTCGCCCCCCCCCCCTCTGGCTCCGACAGCCCCCGCCCCCCCCCCCCAGCTCCGTGTGCTCCTCAATCAGCTCAACTATCCGGCCACCAGACCTCTGCCCCTACTACTCTTCACCTACCCTCATCCATGTCCAGCCATACCACCTATCTTACCACTTCACGCATGTGCCCTATAACCAGCTGCCTCTCATCCACGTTGCACCCATCTGTCACCCTCATTCACCATCACACTCCACATTATTACTCCTTCCCTACCCCTGCAACATCATGCTCCATTCCCAGCCCCTATCCCTTTATCCCTTCCATCACCCTTCTGACAGCCGCTCCACCCCACCCGTTGCTCCCCTTTTGCCCCTTTGTGTACCGCCGTTTTCTTGCATTGTAAAGTGCCCTGGAAAGGGCCCTAAATAAACCTTAAATAAAATTTACTAGAATGAGCCAAGAATGTCTGCGTCCTGCGCGTGATGTCACTCCATGTCGACCAGCCCCCCTCATTAATAATTATGAGCGGGTGACGTTACTCCACATGTAGCACCCCCCTCATTAATAATCATGAGCAGGTGACGTCACTCCACGTTGGCCAGCCCCCCTCATTAATAATCATGAACAGGTAACATCTTCCCAAATGGACACCTCCCCCTCCATTAATAATAATTAGCGGGTGACGTCACTCCACATGGAGGGCCGAGGCGCCTTCTCCTCCCTCCTCAGCGTCAACTCACAACCCTCATTACAGAGGCAGAACCCTCACGTCACGTGATCTCCGTAACCCTATTGAGACATAGACGTAAAAAGGACGTCATGATGAACAAGGGATTATAACCTTTAAATGAAATAAGTCTGTGTCACCGCGACCTTACAAATTGCTTTTCGCTTGCAAGTTTCAGATTTACTGAAATACACCCGTCCTTGGACGGGCGAAGAGCTATTAGAATATAATTAGTTACCTAGCCTATGGCTTTGTCACTCTTTGAGTCTTCTTATCCAGTTATACCCTATAGGAATAGGTTTTACCCTTTTAACTGGCACAAAAACTGACACCTTTATTTAAGGTATCATGTTTGCAATAACCACAACACAAGCAGTCAAAATGCAAGTTATACCCTCTTACCTTCAGTTGTGTCCTGCAAGGCCGTTAAGCTCATACGCAGAACTCTTCGACTGGTGGAGTGGTAGACTAACACGGTGGATGACAACCAACCGATGTCGATGGCTGCGGGCTAGGAAAGATGTGAGCGTGTCTATGGGACCATTTTGCCAATATCAAAGTATGAAAAATAATTAAAGGTTTTATTGCCAGAAAGGGTAAAAACTATTCTTATTTTAATCGCTGTTAACCTGTTGAGAGGTACAAAGGTTTAACGGCTGCAATAAAATAGATATTGCTTTATTCAAGCACCTTATTATATTGAGGCTGATCTCGTTGCAGGGCCCAAACGAACTGACAGAGACACTTATCAGGCGACTCAATCAGTCGCACCAGCTGTTTGTGGTGCCAGCCATGGCCGGGGACAAGTTCATCATCCGCTTTGTCATCACGTCTCAGTTCACCACAGAGGCGGATGTGCTACGGGACTGGCGGCTCGTGTTGCAGGCTGCTACAGACCTGCTGCAGGGCTCAGCAGCCAAGGACGACGCGAGCGGAATGGAGATCTGCATTGTGGGCAGAGAGGAAGCGACTGCCCTTGACCACCAGAGTCAAGGGTGTCTAGAGGTCATGGCACTGGCCAGGAGTTAAGAGCTCTCTCGTGCCAGATGGTGGAATCTCCCTGATATTCCCCAAATAATGATGTATTTACTTGAGGGCCGGATTTAAAAAGTTTGAGATTTTATGATCACCCCCCCCCACCTCCTAGAAGTTTCTAGATCTGCCTCCATTGATATTTTCAACATTTAATTTGGAAGTGATGTAATACAAGTTGTGGGTACTGAATGATGGGGGCATATGGATATGTTCTTTCATAAACAATTTTAATGTAATTTTATCTTATACATAGTTTTTAAACTAGAAATACAAATTTGTCATTGGGGAAAAAAGGTAGTGATTTCGTTATCAAATGTTTTATAACTATCATTGCCTGGACATGCTTTATAACCTTATGCCCATTGGTCTGTATTCTATGGGTCAGAGGAAACGTCTTTAGTTATTGAACAGTTATAATATCTAAAGCTATTAACTTTTATTTACCAGGTCAACCCGATTAGCTATTTTTCAGAAGCGACCTGGTCACAAATGATAGCGCAACGAAGTGCTTATCATGTGAAATTTTATAGCAGCGAAATAAAGAAACAAATGTTTCTAAAGTGGAGGGGAAACCCAGAGGACCCGGAGAAAAATACACGCGACCACAGGGAGAGAGACACGCAAACTCCAAATATACAGCAGGCGTCAGGGTTGGGATCGAACCCACGACTGCTTGCATAACAAGCAAGGGAGATAACATTTCTCCACCGCGGTACTCCTCTCGCCACCTAGTTATGGGGAGGCATTGCACAAAATATCTTGAATATCCCCAAGCGCCATGACCATAATCACCAACAGCACTACGAGATTGCTCAGTTGTTACAGCCATTTAACGAGCAACTGCTGAATGAAAACCTCCCAATTCCATATTGGTCACAGGGGTTCTTTGACCATAATTCAGCATGATGGGCAGTGCAGGTTAGAGAATGGTGGAGGATACCGCCCGCCACGAACGTTGGCCGTGACCAGTAATTGAACTCGGGTCACCGAGATCATAGCATAGCACGCTGACCACAATGGAGACTGCAACCTTCAAGGTGGCCAGCAAATGGCAGTATAGATATTTGTCATTACATATTATGTGTAGGTGTTCGCTCATATCTCTGCTTTCGGATGACACAAAAGACTAAAAATACTGAGTTGGCTCGGTGGCTCAGGAATTGAGCTGGATTAATAAAAATCCCAACTGGTGTTAGATATCAGCATCTTATTATTAAAATGAGGCATTACTTCAGCACCATGGTTCCTCCTAACTTTCTGACTAACCTGCCCCGACTGGACATGTGAAAAAAAGAGCTTCATAGCACATCGGATTCCTCCAGAATGAATACAGATTCTGATTCTGATCACTTCTATGAGGAATTACTTGGCTCAAACCCCTCACGCTCGTCACTCAGAGCTTCGCTTTTCCGCTGACGATGCCCTCGTAGATTTGTCGCGTTAGTGGTGTGTAGCTGCACGCTGCACTGTCCAGGTAAAACAGGGGCGCACGGATGAGCGCCGGGTTGAAGCCCTCCTGCAAGAGGTGCGTCTTGATCTGCTTGTATGTGTTCGTCAACTCCAATGCTTCCTGTGTGACAAGGGGTTCAGGGTGTGACATCCGGAATGGTAAAATAAATAGAAAAACACACTACGAGTAAACAAAATAATCATAGATAAATCCTGTCCCTGCTAAACATCTGTGAAAAGGAGTAAAGCTCATCGCATTCCTCCAGTATAAATAAATATTCTTATTATGATTTTGAAATTACAATAAAAAAGTGTAAACAAACTAAACGATGTCTGCTGTTCTTCGGTATAGATTATATCAAATGCCCATATATTTATGTAATGATGTTAACATTTTGAGCATGTACAGCATATTATTTACTACATTGCCATGATCTGAAAATAACTCAAATACCAGAGTTTTTCTACTCAAGTAAGCATGGGGCAGTGACCATCAGGAGTATGTAGCCCTTAGCAAGTGGTGGAAAGTCTACATTCCTATGGCAGGGTGAGCTTGTATGTACTTCTTTTGCACCGTACGTAGTCAAGCGTGCTAATCTGAGATATGTGGGGGAAAGACAACAAATCAAACAAAAATAAACTAAACACAAACCAAAGAAGATTAATCCTTGCAGTCACGAAAGCTTTAAATCGAAATTTAAACACAAAATCTTATACATAGTAAAACCACTTGACTGTAAAACTCAGTGGTAGCACAGTGGTTGAGTGCAAGCCTTGCAATCAAAAGGTTTTGAGTTCAAAGCCCTGTTGGGGATCGGACCTGAGCCCTTCATCCACCCATCCATCACGATCAGCCATAATCCAACTGCTGGATTAAAGCCTCTAAATATCTCACAGTCCTGCGACAACACTGTAGGCTCCATGGCGGACAACCTCTACCTGCAAGCGGATGAAGTAAGGGCGGGCGTATGTTGGCAAGTGTGCTACAACGTGGCGGTACAGCTCCGGGCCGTCAAGCGAGTGGCCTTCCTCCAGGATCACAGCCGCCATGCCGGCCCGGCCCTCGTTATCTGAGAACAAAAACCGCAGTCACCAGCAGCAGTGGTGGTGGTTAATAGTGATATTTTTTATGGTTTCAAACTAAGGTTCAAAGCGTTTATGCATTCACTCTGTCTGCCCAGAACTACAACTCTCGTAAAGATGATCCAATATATATGAACCTGTAGTATAAAGTTGTCTTAATATTTTGGACTTGCTTTATTGAAAACAAGATAAACTGAATTTTGATTTAAAGCTTTCGTGACTGCAGTAATTAATATTCTTAGTTCTCTCGGTAAAGTCACGTTGAAGGGAAACAACAACACAAACGGTCGTCTTCAGGTGTGTTGGGTTGCAAACCATTATTTTGTTGTTTCCCTTCAACGTGACTTTACCGAAAGAACTAAGAATACTAGATAAACTGATCAAAGAATTGGCCAAAACGTTTGCCCTGACGGTTACCCATCAATTTATGTACTGATAATTACACACATTGGTGTTAGAATCCTCTATGCTTACGTGTTACTTTTTATAACTTGTTTAACTACGTTCATTATTAACAAGAACAACGAGTGAAGACAAAGAAAACGTTCATTACATCACAAAATAGAAAATAATAGAAATGTATTCAGTGCCTATAAAACGTTACCCCCATGCATATTATATTGACTACATAATAATTGATAACCACATATATAATGCAAACATTGTTCATTTGGTGAGGGCGATCCGATACATGTTTTACTTCAATAACTCGGGTATAAAATGAGATCAACGTTGATTAAGCTCGTGATATACGATTGCCGAGCACAGGCCCAGAGGCCCAACATGCAAAGCGGCCAGCAACACCCCACCCCGCATTATTGAAAGTAGACAGGTCATCGTTAATACATCTCTTGAATTGAGCAAAGTTATAAGAACTTGGCAAAATGGAAGGAAGTTCCAAAGTTGAGCAGTTGCGAGGGAAAAAGAAGTCAGAGAAATATTTTAAACTGCAGTGTGGTGTGAATGAGACAAGAGTAGTCTGAATCGGAATATTGATTTATTCATACTGGAGGAATTCGATGAGCTATACAGTTATTTTTCACATATGTCCAATAGGGGCAGATAAGATCGTTACAACAGCAATCGATACAAAAACACGATAGCAGTGCAAAGTACAAGAAAGGTAAAGAAATCAGCCTAAAACATACGAATAAAACGAAACCATTCACACCGTACCAAGGGAAGCCCACTGAGGTATTAATTAGTCTGGAAGATTGAGTCCCCAACATGGGAGCAGGAGGAATCACTGAGTGAAGTTCACGGGGCAGAAACCATGGTAGTAGCGATAGGAGAGTGGCGAGAAGGTGAGCAGGTGCTGAATCATTCATCAATCTGCTTTCCATTGAAGTTTTGTTTTAAAGTCGATCATTAGCTGCGCCACCAACTTGGGATGGTGACACCATACACTGTGACTTCCTTGATGAAGTCCAGGTCACCCAGAGTGTCTGCCACCTCCATTGTCGAGACGTTCTCACCTTTCCACCTTATCGACAGAAACAAGAAATCATTCAGGGTATGCAAAAATAAATCCACACGAGTTCAAGCCAGTCGGGTGTAGCCGAGGTCACTCGCATTGGCCTAGCTCTGAACACTGAGCTGGGATTGCCAAAATAACCACACCTGCATATATGAACCATAACCAAAAGTAGGAATACACGACTTCCATTTGGGATATGATGATGATGCTGATGATGATAATTCCAGATGCTGATGATTGATGGGTGTCCTAGGTATGGCCATTATTATTTATCTGGAGAGAATCTAATAGAACACAATTGAGGAAGACCAGGGGAAACCACCTCTACTCTTCTTTCTGAGATCCTCCAAAGCAGGGACAGAGGAGAAGTAGGAGGTAAATTGGACATCAGGAGCGTGAACTATGGACCTGTCTCTTAGGCGTTGAACTGAAGACAGAGAAAATGAAAATGAGAGCGACAATCACCTGAAAGTATCCCCAACCCTGTCGATGAAATAGATGAAGCCCTCTTTGTCGATGCGCATGATGTCTCCCGAGTTGAAGTAGCGGTCCCCATGCATGAACACGTTGTGCAGAACCTTCCTCTGCGTGAACTCGGCGTTCCCCAAGTAACCATCGAATGGCATGTGCTTCGAGATCGGGGCCACCAGGAGACCTGGCTGTCCTGCTCCACCAGCCCACATGCCGACAAATACAAAGATCCCCCATATAAGCTTTAACAGACTTAGGGCAAGTACTGTTCGGAAGCAGCTATGAATGCAAATAATATTTTTGAATCTCCTCTTGGTGTGTCTGTCTTGTTATTGAGCTATGGTCGTCAGTGTGTGGTGCACTCACCTCTGGGTAAGGGAATGCAGAAGCCCTTGTCATCACGCACGGGTCCATCCTTTTCATGGTCATACTTAACCAGAGAATACTTTATCAGGAGCTGAAACGAAGCAAAGCCACACGAACAATTTCAAGATCACTCATCTTTCCCTTGTAGTCCTCCCACAAAAGGTATAGTTGTTACCTTTGACTGTTGGTGCAAAGGCTGTCTTACAAATAATTTTAGGTCTTTCTTTAATTCCACTGAGACAAATTTTTTGTGAATTTTAAGACACTAGATTTAAATTACTTTGTTTGCTGCCTTACAGTTGTGATAGTTAACTTTCTGCAAATTGTACTTTGTATTGTATTTTTTCTTGATTTGCACTTCATGTCTTGCTAACAAAAGAGATGTTGGTCTTTTGGTTTATATTCATTTGCATTCTTAATCATACAATATTCAACGTGCCAAAGTCCATCTTTGTAATATGCCTGTGGATTTGGCCAGTGCTTACCTATTGAACGTTGCTCATGATGATCCCAATGTGAACAAACCCTGGAGGGCCCCACTCACCAAGATCCAAATGCCCAGCAACAGCTAAAGCAGCATTTTCACCTCTCATTGTGATCAAGAGTGTTATGGGTCGATATTAACCAGGAAAATAGATTATTTATGATACCATGTTGGCACAAGTAACAAAAACTCAACACGTTTCTTAATAACGCTGCCTTAAAATTAAAATATATAAAATATTTGTGCTATAAAGAAGGGCCATTGCCCTACACATCACCTATTATATACTATTTCCTTTTTAGGTCAATAGTGTTGTTGACGAACGTGTTGAGTTTTTGTTAACATCGTCCCGAGACAGCACACCCAAAATACAGGCACACTCCCTAAGCTAACCTTGATCCAGGCAGTCTGCGAAGAAGGAGGTGTGGTAAGAAGCCAGGATTTGACAGCGGATAACAACAACAATAACAACGGCTGAGAAATTACGACGCACACGCAGGAAGGGCAGGTCCCGGCCGCAGGCCCCGAGCTTTCCATCCACGTTGACGAAGCCCACGTTGCCCTCGGTGGCGCCGTAAAGCTCGCAGAATCTCACGTCCCCGTGCCGCTCAAGAAAACGCGCCCACACGTCTGCTCGCATTCCGTTCCCCACGGCCATGCGTACTGAGTGCACGCGGTCCAGCTCGTTCTTGACACGGCACGCGAGGGAGGCAGGGAGGGTGGGGAAAATAATGTTCCTTGAGCGAAAGTTCGTTTTCGTACCATCTATGGAGAAGACGTGATAGTGTGTGTGCCATCACTGACAATGCGGAAAATCTATAAGGTGGTGTACTATCACTGAGTAGGTGTTTTGGCACTTGTGCTGCACTGTCTATTTCTCCGATGTGTTTTCGGTGTTGTTACCGTGTGTCATTGGGCATTATGTCTGACATTTTCCTCCGCTTGCTTAGGAGCTTCTTCACTGAATTCCTGAACTGAATTCACTGAAGTATGGTCAAACCCTCCACCCCTCCCATGATCCACATGCCATTGAGAAGCCCTCCTCATGCAGCAGAGCCTTGACAAAAAGCGCTGTACATGTCCACGTACATGGTCCTTATTTTGAGGGACCCATGACCCGCAATTGCTTGATCCAATTGTCAACGCGCATTGATCGGTAACGAGGCAGCACTTGGCACCTTGGGCTGGCTGAGGAGGTAGCGGCAGATCTCGCCGACGTACTGGAACACGGTGACGCCGTGCCGGCGGCAGTCTCCCCAAAAGTGGCTCGCGGAGAATTTTTTCCGCAGAACCAAGCGCGCACCTGCAGCCAGGGGGATGAGACGACGAGACAACACGAGGGGTGGGGGTGGGGAGAATGGGATCAGTGCTGGTGGCAGTTTAACACGTGGTAGGCTTTCGCGACCAATATCATCCATAAGAGGTTTTTTTTGTGGGTTAGATCACGTAAATATACAAATGTGTTGTTGAAACCCGCCACCACCCGAAACAGCCAACTAGTAAGGGTTGTCACGTAAACAGAACGTGCCAATTCGTCATCAGTACAGCACACCAGTGTGTTGGAGAGCCAAGCCACAACATTTACAATCTGAGTACGATGTTTCGCCAGTAATTACAACTAGCTTCAGGCAACAGCTAGATTTGTGGAAAAGTCCGCCTGTTTCGTTCCTTATATAGAGGCGTAGATGTGGTGACCACACTTCTGCGCTCTTGCGAGGTCAGGTATCATATGACCTCAGTCAACCCACGGCACCTGGGTCTGTCCCGTGACCTCTTGCCAGCGAGCCTTCGAAACGTGGCTTCAAAGTGCACCTGGCCTGTAATAAACGCCGTAATGTCACCGCCACTTCGTGGCAAATTGCGAATGCTTGTTGTGTGTCTGGTGTCATCCCATAACCCGAACGCAAACTCTAGACCTTGCCCTAATCTTAACCCAACCCAAGCCGTAACCCTGAGCTCACCCTCATATAAACCCATGTTAAAACCCTATTCATACCTGATTCCTCACCTCAACCCAAAGCCTCAGGTTAATCCTATTCGTTATGCCCTACATTCGTGGTTCCCACCCTGTGGTCCGAACAGGCTGTGGGAAGTGGTCCACGGAACTGCTCGATTTTTTTCCTACTTCACAAAGCACCGTTTTTTTTCTTTTTTACTGCCCATTGTACAACTATTTCGATTGTATCGCGATTCGTACACACAAATTGGCGATTGACTGAATCTGCTCATTTGCTGGCATTGATTTACTGACGTTATAACACCTCAGATTATCACGGATGGCTACGTACCATGCGAAATAAGTTCAACATACATGCATATTTGCATGGTGGTCCACCAAACTAACCTGAGCACCGAATCATATTCTTACCCTCTCAAAACCAGGGCAAAGATCCCCCGTGTGGCCTTTCACAGACTGTTGGGGCAAGTGCTGTTAGCGAGCACCCGTGAAGGCCGGCACTTGTGGCACACGAGGGGGTGTGGTTGGTTAGCGCCACACCCAGTCGCCTTTGTCTCCCTTGTGTGGCGATGTTGACGCATCGGACCAGGTACTCATTTTAACGCTGAGTCGACCTTTCAGGAGAAGGCCCAAAGAACGGTTCAGATAATCGTCACTGGTCTTGGCCGTGAGTGGGAATGGAACTCGGGCGGCTGGGTTCGTAGTGCAGGGTAGCGCTAACCGCTCCCCACGACATCTCCCCACGCAAGCAGAGAGGTAAAAAATAAAACAAAAATCACGACGTTTCGGCCACAACACAAGCGGCCTTCATCAGGTGAAGGGACCAGGCTGTCTCGAGGACAGCGCTGGAGTGAAACACAGCCACGCTCAGACCGCGACCTTTAAGCTGTGTGAGAGTAAGATGCACAGTGCCCCCTCCTGGATAAAGTTGTATAAGTGCGCAAGATGAGCAAGCAGCCAACGTTCATCAATGGACGTTCCTTGCCAGGATAACAATTTCAGAATAGGTTTTACCCTTTTTGGCAATAAAACAGCGCCAAATCAAGTTTAATAAAACAGGTGTTAAGATGTATAAACACCAAACTGTGGTTATATGTGGTTAATGCAGACATGATTCCTTGCAAAAGGTTTCAGTTTGGTGTTTAAACTTCTTAACACAACTGTTTTATTGCCAGAAAGGGTCAAACATATTCTTATAGCTAACGTTCAGTTTAAATCTGAACAATGTAGTGTGTACATGCGAGGCAATGCAACTGACAAATATGCAACTGCCATTGCAACCATGATTGGCTCTTCTGGTGGAATTCAGTGAAATAAACTTCTGAGTAAAGATTCTAAATTACACGGTCAGGTGCGAGTTCAATTCTACCAATTAGCAGTAAACATGCGTTTGCATGTGTAGGAATTTGTTTCTAGTTTATTTTGTTGAACCAAGCGAGAAATTAAGAGACCATGATAACTTCATTTTCAAGGGTGACCTGGAACACTGTTCTACCTGCAGAGGGCGATGTTTGTTAAGTCGAGTATCTTCAGTTAATTTCATAATTTGCACCTTGACAGAGACGCACAATGGCCTTCTCGTGCGAATGACGTCAGGGGATCTTTAACATCCACTCTCAAGCATACGGCGCATATTATTATCGTTAACCAGGGTAGTCGCTGGAATTGAACATTGAACCTTTGCAACATGCGGGAACACACTACCGCTATAGGCTTGGCTCTATTTGTAAGCAACAGGAAAAACTGATCAAAGCGATTCTGCTAATCATGTCACGTTTTTTGTCGACAATGGATTACTCAAAAGATTAGGAGCGATTTACGAGTATAGTGACATAGAATGGGTCACTAGGGCGCGTAGCGCTGGTTGCTGGCAGAGAGTGGGATCTGAGGGTGTAGCAGCCCGGTCTGCCAGCAGGGCATGTGATAGGTCGGGGAAAGGGATGTCGGACAAAGGTTATGGAGGGGACACGTGAGGTGAAGCTGGGAACCTTCTGATAGGTTTCAGAAGAGGGCGTGACCGAGAGCGGAGCCAGGCCATGCTGGGGGAGATAAAATGGAGGCCCCGACTCAGGGTCGGGGCTGTCGTCTGGAATGGAACCCGTTGTGCTACCAAGTCTTCGTCCCCGTCTTCGGCCTCGTCTTCACCTCCTCGGCGTTGTTGGTCAGGCAGTGTGCTAGCTGTCCTGACCATAGTCTAGTTATCCCCTGTACCCGTGATAGGCTAGGATAAACGAGAGTGCCTCCTACTATTAGTGTCTCTGAAGTGATTCACGACAAGAGTATTGAGAGGCTCACAGATCTCCGATGGTGATGTCACCAGCGAAGGTTAACATCCAGGGCTTTGACAAACATCACAGGCGTGGGAGAGAAGTCACCCCAGGAAGCTTACCGATGTCGAGGGAACCGATGAACGCAGCAATGATAGCCGAGCTGTGGTAGAGTGGCAGGAAGATGTACACCACGTCCTCTGCTCTTACGCCGGACATTGAGTAGGTGAAGTTTCCGCACCATGCACGCGTGTGGCTGACCTTCACAGCCTTTGGGAGTCCTGGCAATGTGTGGGATCGGGAGAGAATCAATGGACCTGTTAAACATTTCAGTATTGTCTCCTTGAATCTTTTATTGTCATTTGTAGCACAGCAGTTGGAAATTATTTCGTTGACAGACTAGAATACAACAGAAAAATAAGACAATTACCCAATTATGACATTAGAAGTCTGGCATCGATGATGGTGAAATAATGATCATACAATATAGCGATGCCAATGCTACTGATGGTGAATATGATGACAATAGGATGATGATGGTGAACATGATTACAGCAGTACGGGTCATCAGACAAACCAGTGGTGCCGGACGTGTAGATGTATATGAAGGCGTCCTTCGCGGTGATGTGCGCACGCACGCTGGCTGCTGGGAGGTTGCAGGGGGCCTCACGGAAAGTGGAGGCGAGTGATGGCACAGCTGACCCGGGGGTTGCTTCGCCCATGGTCAGGGGACGGATTTGAAGCTCATTCATCTCCACTGAAATTTCCTCCACAGCCACCAATAGTGGCCCTGTCCATGGTTAGAGGTCAGGCGCAGCCATATTTCACTGATCATTGTACTGCAGTATTCAAATAGGTTTGATTCTTATACCCAAGGTACACGAAGCAATGATGGACTCTGCCAACAACCTAATACTGGCCGTTTGAAACATACAACTGAAATATATTGATGGTATTAGACGGGGCTAGTAATCCGGGAAAGTGGCACCTGACAAGTATCCACAGCCATAGCGAGAGGTATACAGGATGTGGCTCGCATGGAAATATATTCCAGGTTGCAGACATGTACAAACCTAACTGAAATTAGGCCCTAGTTTTAGAGAAACAGAAACACTGCGCGACTGAACTTGTCAATTTAGTTGAATTCCTGGCCATGGTTAACATCAGTGACGAGTGATATCTGAAAGGGACCTGGGCACACTGAGCCGTGTGGGAAGGTATGGTCAAAACAACCCCCTCGAGTGAAAAGGATGGGGAGGACTTCGTAAATTAGGGAATGATAAAAGGGTTGTAAATAATTATTGTTATTATAAATTCTGAATTAAGTATATCTAGAACATCATTGATTGGAGGGTTAACATATGAAACCTCAAGGGACTGAGTGTAGCTGTGACTTAACAGCTACCTAGCTTAAAATTTGTTTTATTTATTGGTTGCATCTACAATTGACCTTTACCCAGTGGCAAACAACAACGCACGTGAAAGGAATGCATCACGTAAAAAAGCAAAAGTTACATCATATTTCGATTTAAAGCTTTCGTGACTGCAAGGATTAATCTTCTTTGGTTCTTTCGGTAAAGTGACGTAGAATGAGAATAAAATAATAAAAATAATAAAAATAACACAATAAAATTCTCACGACGTTTCGGCCACAACACAAGTGGCCTTCTTCAGGTGAAAGGAACAAACCTGTCGGGACGACAGAGCTTCAATGCTAGAATTTAGCATTGAAATAACTAGGCGAATTTAGCATTGAAATAACTGAGTGATTAGCTTGTGACTGGTCACAGAAATGGCTATGTTAAAGTCAAAGCCTACACATCCACTCCTACCAGGAGTGCCGTAGCCCTCAGGACACCGAGGGCATCCACGTGCAATCGACGAGATGGGAGTCTCACCAGAACCAGTGACCAGGAATTGTGCTTTGCTCGTGGTCAGGCAGTGCAGGAGCATGCGACCGCGCAGATTCGTGTTCATGAGGGTGGCGGGACACGCGAGGGATGTGCACGCGAACAGCACGAACAAGAACGCCGGCTCGTTCTCCATTAGCAGAGCCACGGTGTCGCCCGGGCGCACGCCCCCAAACTGAAAAGGCAACACGACGATGCCAGACAAATTACATTTGGAGTTCTCAAGCATCTAAATGCAACCGTATCGCAAGGGGACGTGCATAGAAGGGCGGAGGGGAACGTGCAGTAACCATGATGTAGTGCTGTAGCCACTTATGAATGACGGCAAGGCACAGTTTTCAGTTTTATTTATTTGGTTTAACCCTGTGAGCCATTCGGCTCTTGATTCGGGTGCAACCACAACAAACAATAAAATTACAAGATACATTTAAAATTTACTGCACGCAAATTGAAACATCCCCTATAAAAACAATAAAATCTTCCAGAAAAAGCACCATATGTTTATGCTGCGTACAAAAAATGTGCAAGAAATCCCAGTTTGATGTTAAATCAGCAAAAACAACCGCCGTTCTCACAAACTGAGTCGAGGGCAACCCACCTCCTGAAGGGCGTGCGCGGTGCGAGCCACGTCGCGCACGAACTCTTCGTACGTCCATCTGTCGTCCTCGAAGGTGAGGAAGACCTTGTGCGGAGTGGCGGACGCTCGCTCGAGCAGCCGGTCCAGAACGGAGAATAGGGGCTTGCGGGACAAGTAGCGGTGCCTGTACACCGCATTGCGCAGGACACGCAGGGAGCGCCAAGCACCCAGCCACAGCTGCGGCCAGAATATCCAAGAGGCCAGCAGAATGCAAGCCACTTTCACCGCAGCCCCAGCAAGGAGAGAGAGAAGTTCCATCGTAGTCACGCTGAGGCCGCCGTGCCCTCCGCTGTATCTCAGCCACGTGTCAATCGCTGGTGACAACAAATCTTGCTACAACAATGAAACCCTTATTGTTTTTACTTGACAGTGCGTTTTTGCCATACTTTAGATAAGCGACATTAATCCTTTTTACATTAATAATAATTCTCACCCAGCTCCAACCCTATTCAAATGCTGGAATGGCTACACAAGCTTACACGGTCCAAATTCCACACCTACTGCTTCATGAATATTCTTATCTCAGCAGTTATATTGGTTCAGCGTGCACTATGGGCAAAAGTTCACCAAGTGTACTCTGTGATAGTAATAAAGCTCTTCAAACAAAATAAGATAAGAGGCTTTGGCGCATCTCTGTCAGTCATATCAATCAATGAAACTAATTATTTGCTGACACCGCTGCATAAGCAGTGGTGCACAAGCATATATAACAACAAAACACTCCAACACATTCGTCAATATTAGCGTGACCATGCATTTAACTGTTTCGGGCATGTGCACTGAAGAAGGGCCATTGTCTAAAACGTCGCCCTATTATATTTTTTCTTTGAAAGCAATTTTTTTGATTATCTATATACATTTCGATTTAAAGCTTTCATGACTGCAGGGATTCATATTCTTAGTTCTTTCGGTAAAGTCACGTCGAAGGGAAATAATATTTTATAATATTTTATTATTTCCCTTCTAGGTGACTTTACCTAAAGAACCAAGAATATCTTTATACAGTATATGTAGAGTACTCTTTGATTTTTTTCGGTAAAGTCACGTAGGTAAAATAAAATAAATGAAAACAACTAAATTAAATCACGACGTTTCGGAGGCAACACAAGCTTCCGTTTTCAGGTGGAACAGTCACAGCAAAATAGCTGTATCAAGTGAAGAGCTCTGAGACACCCGAGATTATATACAGGTTAAGTGAGGGGGAGAGGAGCCTTCCCCCCCACCCACGTCCCTTCCTGGCTCCTCTCCCCGTCCCTTAACCTGTATATAATCTCGGGTGTCTCAGAGCTCTTCACTTGATACAGCTATTTTGCTGTGACTGTTCCACCTGAAAACGGAAGCTTGTGTTGCCTCCGAAACGTCGTGATTTAATTTAGTTGTTTTCATTTATTTTATTTGCCTACCTTGGTGAAGGCCTCTTCATCGTCCTGCCTGTTGGGCACCGATTTCTTGGCCAGGATGCCTATTCGGATTCTCGTGGACCAGGGTTGTGTGGAATGCCATCAGGCCGCAGGTTGCACTTTTTGCAGTCTCTCACCATTTTGTCTCCCCTTGCCGCCGGTGTGCGGGCCTTGAATAAGGAGTCCGTGACCATTCCGCCAGGGTCACAAATTCTGCTACCCCTTAGGCTGCGCAGACCCTTGAGATTGCACTCCCCGGAAACTCGCATCCTGTTGTCTCCCTAGAACTACTTTTCGAGGCCGTCCGGCTTGGTTGGTGCCTTGACGGCCGTGTCGGACGTCCGGGACCCCTTTTTGTAGGTCCTCAATTCGGGGACTTTGCCCATTATGGTTCTAGCCGGCGCCGTCTTGGCACACGTTACCCCAGTTCCTCCACCCGATGACGCCAGGAAGGCTGGAGGAGTTGTGGCATGCGTGCTGCACGGTGGGGGGACCGGCGCATCTTGGGTCGATGCGCTGTGCAATGAGAATGTCTCGTCCCCCAGGGAGCGCCAGCAGCTCCGTACACTCATTGAGGTTCACCGATGTGTTCAGTCAGAGTAAATTCGATATTGGTCATATGACTCTTCTGGAACATCACATTGACACGGGGAATTCGGCCCCTATTCGGTTAAATTCTCACCACTTCAGCCCAGCGGAAAAGGATCATGTCCGCTTGGTCATGGACGAGATGTTGGCAGCAGACATTATCTCCCTATCCACTAGCCCTTGGGGTGCCCCCATTGTGCTGGTCAAGAAACGGGATGGGAGCCTCCGGTTCTGCGTCGATTTCCATATATTGAACAAGATCTCTGTGGTTGATGCATATCCACTGCCTCGCATGGATGATTCCCTTGACGCCCTCTCGGGTGCGCGGTTCTTTTCCACCTTGGACTTGCTCTCGGGCTTCTGGCAATTGCCATTGGAAAAGGCCTCGAAGCCAAAGACAGCATTCCGCACACCACAGGGGCTGTACGAATTCAACCAGCTCCCTATGGGCCTACATCCGGCCCCAGTCACCTTCCAGCATCTCATGGATATGGTCTTGGCAGGGCTGCAGTGGGAATCTTGTTTGATTTATCTGGACGACGTAATTGTCATCGGCCGTACGTTTGATGAGCACTTGCAACGCCTTGAGTCAGTGTTCGTCAAAGTGCGTGCTGCGGGGTAGAAATTTAAACCACAAAAATACCATTTATTACAACCATCGGTGAGGTATTTAGGACACATTGTTAGTGTTTCAGGTGTTGCCACGGATCCGGAAAAGACAGCTTGTGTCCGGACGTGGCCGACTCCCACATCTGTCACTGAGGTGCGTAGCTTAGTCGGCTTCGCTTCGTATTATTGTCGTTTTGTGCGCGATTTTGCGACGATAGCGAAGCCACTGCACAAACTCTCCGCCAAAGGCCAAAAGTTCCACTGGGGCATACAGGAGGAAGCTGCCTTTGCTGCGCTTCGTGCATCCTTGGCAGATGTGCCGCCTTTGGGGTACCCAGACTTCTCAAAGCCCTTCCTCCTCGACACCGACGCCAGCGATATGGGCATTGGGGCGGTCCTGGCCCAGGTGGTCGACGCGGTGGAAAGGGTCGTGGCATATGGCAGCCGCGTTTTATCCCCCACTGAACATCGCTATTGTGTTACACGGTGGGAGCTGCTTGCCATCGTGTTCTTTGTCCAGCTCTATAGGCCCTATTTGTATGGCAGGCGGTTCACCGTCCGGACTGACCATGCGGCCATGCAATATTCGTTGCGGATCAATCAGCCCTCGGGTCAGCTTTCCCGCTGGCTCAAGGTGCTGCAAGAGTACCCTTTCGACGTCATCCACAGGAAGGGGGCAAAGCATGGTAATGTGGATGGGCTCTCCAAGTTGCCTATGGAGGGCGGGTGCGCGTCTACCCTAGGTTCGAGTCGCTGCAAGACCCCAGCGGAGACCGCGGCCCAGTTGATTGCAACGGCCAATGCAGACCCCCCTTCGGGTGTGGTGTTGCCTGTTGATTTTGGCCTGGGACTAACCTGAGAGGTATGGTGCAGATGGAGGATTCCTCTCTGCTGAGGCTATGATGCCATGTTGGGCTAAGTGCCCGGAGCTCAGCTCCATCGGCCACCCCGGCGGTCGCTGTACATGACTGCCTCCTCATGCGTTGGGATGCCCAATTGGAGCATTACTGTGTCGTTGTACCAACTGCCCTGCGAGGTAAATTGACCCGGACCATTCACGAGAAACTTATGCACCTCGGATACAATAAGACCTGCTGACCCTTAAACGGGACTACTACTGGCCGGGTGTGGAGGGTGATGTGGCACTGATTTTGAAAGGTTTCCACGATTGTGCGCGGAGGAAAGCCCCAGTTGGCCAGAATCGGGCCGCGCTGCAGTCCATTCAGGTTTCTTGCGTCAATGAGCTTGTGGCACTCAACATCTTGGACCCATTCGCAGCATCCCAACGGGGCCACAGGTACCTCTTGGTGGGAGTCGAGTACCTCACACGTTAGCCTATGGCGTGGCCTCTGGTAGACCAATCGGCCTCCTCCATTACCAAGGCGTTTGTACAAGGGTACGTTCTGCATAAGGGTGCACCAGAACAACTATTAACAGACCAGTGCCGGAATTTTTCTTCCCGGAAGCTCAAGGAAGTCTGCGACCTCCTTGGCACCAAGAAAATCCGCACCTCGCCCTACCACCCTCAGTCCGATGGGATGGTAGAGCGATTGAACCACACCCTCACGTCCATGCTATGTCACCACGTGAGTACGTCCCAGACGGACTGGGACCTGTTCGTCACAGGGGTTCTGGCCGTGTACAGTTTGGCCCCTCATGCCTCAACGGGGTTCTCACCCTTTTATTTAATGTATGGAAAGGAACCAGACACCCCGATGCACGTCTAAATGGACCTGGGGACATCAGAAAAGGGATCGGCGGTGCCTACCCCGATGACAGTCACGCTAGACCGACGGCACGAGGCACGGCAGGCGGCTGTGGAAAATTCGGCCAGCCGGCAGGCAGCTAACGAGCGCCTGCCCAAACACCAAGCTGCTGGCCTTCCATGGAAAAAGGGCCAGAAAGCATGGCTACACTGCCCCCAAGTACCGGTTGGCACATCGCCCAAAATGCATCACTCTTGGCAGGGCCCTGTTGAGGTCGTGGAAGTCCGTCGGCCGCTATGTGTTCGTATATGGTTTGGTCGCTGGCACTGGATTGTACACCCGTCTCGGCTCAAAAGATATGAGGCACCTAGCCTCGTTGATTCATCCCCACATCCTGAGCGGCCAGGGGGTGATGCGTCCGATGTGTCGGGCCGCGTGCATCGTGAAGGCGAGACCAATGACCGGCCTGTGTTTGCACCAGCAGAGCCATCGCCAGTAGCACCTGCGACGATGCCTCTTCCTGCAGATGCCCCGGCGACAGGCCTGTCGCCAGCGGGCGCGTCACCTATCACCACAACCGACGCCACACGGGGGAACGGGCCTGCAGCGCACATGCGATCGCGGGGCATGCGGTTCCGGTGACGGCCACGGGGGCCGTTGTCATTGGCTTCCAGCCGTCGGCGCCAGTGGCCGTGTTGTGCTGCGTGATGAAGGCCTTAATTTTTTTTTTAAAACAATATTGTTTATTCAATCATTTTTGCCGTGCTGCCCTAATTTTACGTTCGAGTCTTTGCAGACGGTCCCGCCTTCATGCATGCTTTACATGGCTACTACCAGTTTTCTGTGTTCTGTTCGTGTTCTCCTATCCGGGTTGCCAGGTTTCGTATTGTTCACAGCCGGGTCGGCTGATTTTTTTTACGGGGGCTGGTGATGTAGAGTAGTGCAGGGACATGACGTCATGCGCGCCTTCCGGTGTGATTACGTCATGGGAAGTGACGTCATGCGCGCCTTCCGGTAGGATGGCATCATGTCTCCTCTAGGTATTTAGGGGGGACCCTGTGACGAAAGCGGGGTTACTGTGGAAGCGGAGAGTGGTGAAGGATTGAAGAGGGAACCAGGGGTAGAGCTGAGGGGAGTCTAGAGGAAGCTCTGGAGCTAGCTGGGCTGGGAACAGTCAGAGTGTAGGGTCACTTAGGA